ATCTCTCTATCTCTGTTTGTTCGTCTATCTATCTCTTTCTCTATCTCCTTCCCTATCTCTCTATCTCTGTTTGTCCATCTATCTATCTCTATCTCCATCTCCTTCCCTCTCAGTCTATCTCTCTTCATCCATCAATCTATCAGTCTGTTCATCGCTATATCTATCTCACGTTCCCCTTCTCCCGTTTCCTCTCTCTCCCTTCACCTTCCTTCTCCTCCCTCCTACCCTCCCTCTCCCCATTACCCCCTCCTCGTCCCCCTCATACCCCCTCTTCTCCCGCCCCATAACCCTCTCCTCTTCCCTCCAGTACCATCTTCCCTCTTCCTCCCATACCCCCTCTCCCCCCCACCCCCATCCTCTTCCCCCCCATACCCCCTCTATCTCCCTCCCCATACCCAACTCCTCTTCCCTCCCATTCCCCCTACCATCTTCTCTTCCTCCCTATACCCTCTCCCCCCACCCCCTCCTCTTCCCCCCATAACCCCCTCCTCTTCCCCCTATAACACTCTCCTCTTCCCCCATACCCCCTTCCTCTTCCCCCCTATACACTCTCCTCTTCCCCCCATAACCCCTCCTCTTCCCCCTATACACTCTCCTCTTCCCCCCATACCCCCTCCTCTTCCCCCTATACACTCTCCTCTCCCCCCATACCCCCTCCCTTCCCCCTATACACTCTCCTCTTCCCCCATACCCCCTCCTCTTCCCCCTATAACACTCTCCTCTTCCCCCCATACCCTCTCCTCTTCCCCCTATACACTCTCCTCTCCCCCCATACCCCCTCCTCTTCCCCCTATAACACTCTCCTCTTCCCCCCATACCCCCTCCTCTTCCTCCCATACCCTCTCCTCTTCCCCCCATACCCCCTCCTCTTCCCCCATACCCCCTCCTCTTCCCCCCATACCCCCTCCTCTTCCCCCTATACACTCTCCTCTTCCCCCCATAACCCCCTCTCTTCCCCCTATACCCCCTCCTCTTCCCCCCCATACCTCTACCTCTTACTCCACTTACCCTCTCCCCCCCCACCCCCCTCCTCTTCCCCCTATACCCCCTCCTCTTCCTTCCCATACCCCCTCCCCCCCCACCCCCTCCTCTTCCCCCCATACCTCTTCCTCTTCCTCCCATACCCCCTCTCCCCCCCACCCCCTCCTCTGCCCCCCCATACCCCCCTCCTCTTCCCCCCCCTATACCCCCTCCTCTTTCTCCCATACCTCCACCCCCCCCCACCCCCTCCTCTTCCCCTATACCCCCTCCTCTTCCCCCATACCCCCCCCCCCCCCCACCCTTCACATAAAAGCCACGATCAGAACAATTGCGTCCATTCACTCTGCTTTTGATGTTACCGCCACCTGTATGGCTGACCGCACGCACTTTAGCCGTCTCTCCCGTTTAAATTATTTTCATATTTCTCTCTGTAACATCATTATCGTCTTTTTTTCTTCTTCTTCTTCTTTTATTTCCTCTTGTGTATTTTCTTATTTCTCTCTATAACATCTTTATTCTATTTTTTTTTTTTCCTCTTGTGTATTTTCATATTTGTCTCTATAACATTATTATCCCCATTTTTTTTTATTTCCTCTTGGGGTTTTGTAATATTATTGTTTTTTTTTCTGTAATTGATATTGTTAATTTTAAGATTATTTAGTCCGGTGATGTGTTATAAACAGTATATCTACAGTGATGCGTTGATTGTATCGAAACTGGTTTTGGTAACACTGATTGATTGATGCCATTACTCTATTCAGGTTTTTTTTTTTTTTTTTTTTTTGAGAGAGAGAGAGAGAGAGAGAGAGAGAGAGAGAGAGAGAGAGAGAGAGAGAGAGAGAGAGAGAGAGAGAGAGAGAGAGATTAATATTATTGCTTAAATAAATGATGTTATCATCACAAACATTTTAACATCATTATTATTATCATTATAATCATTATTTTTTTTTATTATTATTGTTATTATTGTTACTATCATCACATTATCATTATTATTATCATTAGCCTTATTAGATTTATTATAATTATTACCGTTATTATTGTTGTTATTAATATCATCATAATAATAATATTAATACTAATTATTATTATTATTATTATTATTATTATTATTATTATTATTATTATTATTATTATTATTATAATTTTCATTATCATTCTTATTATATATCATTACTTTTATTATTACTATCATTATTATTAGAATTATTTTTGATATTAGTGTTATTATTAGTATTAGTATTAGTATTAGTATTAATATTAGTATTATCATTAATATCATTATTACAATCATTATTACTATTATTGCTGTTTTTATTATTATTATTGTTATTATAATTATCTTTATTTTTTTCTATAAATATCATTATCATTACTATTTTCCTCCTACTCATTATTATTACTATTGTTATCGTTATCTCAGATGATTTCCTCAATTATCATTCCATTTCATTCATTATTATCATCATTACTATTGTTATTATTATCATTATCATTGCTGTTATTTTTATCATTATTA